GTGACTACTGCCACCACAACCACTGTGACTACTGCCACCACAACCCGTGTGACTACTGCCACCACAACCTGTGTGACTACTGCCATCACAACCTGTGTGACTATTGCCACCACAACCTGTGCGACTACTGCCACTACAACCTGTGTGACTACTGCCATCACAAACTGTATGACTACTGCCACCACAACCTGTGTGACTACTGCCACCACAACCTGTGTGACTACTGCCACCACAACTTGTGTGACTACTGCCACCACAACCTCTGTGACTAATGCCACCACATCCTCTGTGACTACTGCCACCACAACCTGTGTGACTACTGCCACCACAACCACTGTGACTACTGCCCGCACAACCTGTGTAACTACTGCCACCACAACCTGCGTGACTACTGCCACCACAACCACTGTGACTACTGCCACCACAATCTGCGTGACTACTGCCACCACAACCACTGTGACTACTGCCACCACAACCACTGTGACTACTGCCACCACAACCAGCGAGACTACTGCTACCACAACCACTGTGATTACTGCCCCCACAACCACTGTGACTACTGCCATCACAATCTGTGTGACTACGGCCACCACAACCACTGTGACTACTGCCACCACAACCTGTGTGACTACATTCACCACAACCTGTGTGACAACTGCCACCACAATTTGTGAGAGTACTGCCACCACAACCTGTGTGACTACTGCCACCACAACCACTGTGACTACTGCCACTACATCCTCTGTGACTACTGCCACCACAACCTGTGTGACTACTGCCACCACAACCACTGTGACTACTGCCACTACAACCTGTGTGACTACTGCCATCACAATCTGCGTGACTACTGCCACCACAACCACTGTGATTACTGCCACCACAACCTGCGTGACTACTGCCACCACAACCACTGTGACTACTGCCACATAACTTGTGTGACTACTGCCACCACAACCTGTGTGACTACTGCCCCCACAACCTGTCTGACTACTGTCTCCACAACCTGGGTGACTACTGCCACCACAACCACTGTGACTACGGCCACCACAACCACTGTGACTACTGCCACACAACCTGTGTGACTACTGCCACCACAACCACTGTGACTACTGCCACCACTGCTTGTGAGTACTGCCACCACAACCTGTGTGACAACTGCCACCACAATTTGTGAGACTACTGCCACCACAACCTGTGTGACTACTGCCACCACAACCAGTATGACTACTGCCACCACAACCACTGTGACTACTGGCACCACAACCTGCGTGACTACTGCCACCACAAGCTGTGTTACTACTGCCACCACAACCTGTGTGACTACTGCCACCACAACCACTGTGACTACTGCCACACAACCTGTGTTACTACTGCCACCACAACCTGTGTGACTACTGCCACCACAACCACTGTGGCTACTGCCACCACAACCACTGTGACTACTGTCACCACAACCTGCGTGACTACTGCCACCACAACTTGTGAGTACTGCCATCACAACCTGTGTGACAACTGCCACCACAATTTGTGAGACTACTGCCACCACAACCTGTGTGACTGCTGCCACCACAACCAGTATGACTACTGCCACCACAACCACTGTGACTACTGTCACCACAACCTGTGTGACTACTGCCACCACAACCACTGTGACTACTGCCACCACAACCACTGTGACTACTGCCACCACAACCACTGTGACTACTGCCACCACAACCTGCGTGACTAATGCCACCACAAGCTGTGTTACTACTGCCACCACAAGCTGTGACTACTGCCACCACAACCACTGTGACTACTGCCACACAACCTGTGTTACTACTGCCACCACAACCTGTGGCTACTGCCACCACAACCTGTGTGACTACTGCCACCACAACCACTGTAACTACTGCCACCACTACCTGTGTGACTCCTGCCACCACAACCTGTGTGACTACTGCCACCACAACCTGTGTGACTACGGCCACCACAACCTGTGTGACTACTGCCACCACAACCACTGTGACTACTGCCACGCAACCTGTGTGACTACTGCCACCACAACCTGTGTGACTACTGCCACCACAACCTGTGTGACTACTGCCACCACAACCTGAGTGACTACTGTCACCACAACCTGTGTGACTACTGCCACCATAAACTCTGTGACTACTGCCACCACAACCTGTGTGACTACTGCCACCACAACCTGCGTGACTACTGCCACCACAACCACTGTGACTACTGCCACCACAACCACTGTGACTTCTGCCACCGCAACCTGTGTGACTACTGCCACCACAACCTGTGTGACTACTGCCACCACAACCTGTGTGACTACTGCCACCACAACCTGTGTGACTACTGCCACCACAACCTGTGTGACTTCTGCCACCACAAACTGTATGACTACTGCCACCACATCTTCTGTGACTACTGCCACCACAAACTGTGTGACAACTGCCACCACAACCTGTGTGACTACTGCCACCACAACCTGTGTGACTTCTGCCACCACAAACTGTATGACTACTGCCACCACATCTTCTGTGACTACTGCCACCACAAACTGTGTGACTACTGCCACCACAAACTGTGTGACTACTGCCACCACAACCTGTATGACTACTGCCACCACATCTTCTGTGACTACTGTCACCACAACCACTGTGACTTTTGCCACCACAACCTGTGTGTGACTACTGCCACCACAACCTGTGTGACTACTGCCACACAACCTGTGTGACTACTGCCACCACAATTTGTGAGACTACTGCCACCACAACCTGTGTGACTACTGCCACCACAACCTGTGTGACTACTGCCACCACAACCACTGTGACTACTGCCACCACAACCACTGTGACTACTGCCACCACAACCTGTGTGACTACTGCCACCACAACGTGTGTGACTACTGCCACCACAACCTGTGTGACTACTGCCACCACAACCTGTGTGACTACTGCCACCACAACCTCTGTAACTACTGCCACCACAACCTGTGTGAATACTGCCACCACAACCTGTGTGACTACTGCCACAACATCCACTGTGACTACTGCCACCACAACCTGTGTGACTACTGTCACCACAACCACTGTGACTACTGCCACCACAACCTGTCTGACTACTGCCACCACAATCTGTGTGACTACTGCCACCACAGCCACTGTGACTACTGCCACCACAATCTGTGTGACTACTGCCACCACAGCCACTGTGACTACTGCCACCACAACCTGTGTGACTACTGCCACCACAACCTGCATGACTACTGCCACCACAACCATTGTGACTACTGCCACTACAACCTGAGTGACTACTGTCACCACAACCTGTGTGACAACTGCCACCACAATTTGTGAGAGTACTGCCACCACAGCCTGCGTGACTACTGCCACATAACCACTGTGATTACTGCCACCACAACCTGCGTGACTACTGCCACCACAACCAATGTGACTACTGCCACCACAACCACTGTGACTACTGCCACCACAACCACTGTGACTACTGCCCCCACAACCTTTGTGACTACTGCCACCACAACCTGCGTGACTACTGCCACCACAACCACTGTGACTACTGCCACAACAACCTGTGTGACTACTGCCACCACAAACTGTGTGACTACTGCCACCACAACCTGTGTGACTACTGCCACCACAATCTGTGTGACTTCTGCCACCACAAACTGTATGACTACTGCCACCACAACCACTGTGACTACTGTCACCACAACCTGTGTGACAACTGTCATCACAACCTGTGTGACTACTGCCACCACAACCTGTGTGACTACTGCCACCACAACCTGTGTGACTTCTGCCTCCACAAACTGTATGACTACTGCCACCACATCTTCTGTGACTACTGCCACCACAACCTGTGTGACTACTGCCACCACAACCACTGTGACTACTGTCACCACAACCTGTGTGACAACTGTCATCACAACCTGTGTGACTACTGCCACCACAACCTGTGTGACTACTGCCACCACAACCTGTGTGACTTCTGCCACCACAAACTGTATGACTACTGCCACCACATCTTCTGTGACTACTGCCATCACAACCTGTGTGACTACTGCCACCACAACCACTGTGACGTTTGCCCCACCACAACCTGTGTGACTACTGCCACCACAACCACTGTGACTACTGTCACCACAACCTGTGTGATTACTGTCACCACAACCTGTGTGACAACTGCCACCACAATTTGTGAGAGTACTGCCACCAGAACCTGTGTGACTACTGCCACCACAACCACTGTGACTACTGTCACCACAATCTGTGTGACTACTGCCACCACAACCACTGTGACTACTGCCACCACAACCTGTGTGACTACTGTCACCACTACCTGTGTGACAACTGCCACCACAACCTGTGTGACTACTGCCACCACAACCTGTGTGACTACTGCCACCACAACCACTGTGACTACTGTCACCACAATCTGTGTGACTACTGCCACCACAACCACTGTGACTACTGCCACCACAACCTGTGTGACTACTGTCACCACAACCTGTGTGACTACTGCCCCCACAGCCTGTGTGACTACTGCTACCACAACCTGCGTGACTACTGCAACCACAACCACTGTGACTACTGCCACCACATCCTGAGTGACTACTGTCACCACAACCTGTGTGACAACTGCCACCACAATTTGTGAGAGTACTGTTACCACAACCTGCGTGACTACTGCCACCACAACCACTGTGATTACTGCCACCACAACCTGTATGACTACTGGCCCCACAACCTGTGTGACTACTGCCACCACAACCTGCGTGACTACTGCCACCATAACCTGTATGACTACTGGCCCCACAACCTGTGTGACTACTGCCACCACAACCTGCGTGACTACTGCCACCATAACCTGTGTGACTACTGCCACCACAACCACTGTGACTACTGTAAGGACAACCACTGTGACGTGTTGATAACCTTGTCTCCACAGTGTTGTTGATAATGTTAGTGTTGTGTGTGGGTCCACAGAGTGTCCAGCAGGAAGGTACGGTGCTGGCTGTTCCCACGACTGTGACTACTGTAAGAACAACCACTGTGACTCTGTCAGTGGATCCTGCACTCTTGGCTGCATAAATGAAGCACATTGTCGCGGTATGGTTTTTGTTATTTTTATTTATTTATAATGTTGTGAAGTTGACAGCCTCACTCCTTTTACCACTAAAGTTGACATTTTACTAACAAGTATTATCAGCTTCTTAAATAGCCTTGAAATACTGTACATCTGATTAATTATAATATTCTGTAATGTATTTTGTCTTGTGTTGTGAAGTGTTTAGTGTGTGTATTAGAACATTGCCTCCCCGACAGGTGGGATGCCTCTGGACCTGCCTCGCCTGCGGACTCCTCCGTCTCTCACTGACATAACAAACACCTCAGTTGTTGTGAACTTCTCCACCTGGACGAGGGAGGAAGATGATGGGTCGGAGGAGTTTGGTATTGTGAGTTACCTGCTTCAGTACCGGAGGGAGGATGACCTCACTTGGACTACGCTGAAGACTGTGTCACACAGCTCTGTGTCAGGCCAGACTAAAGATATATTGAACTGTGAGTATGGGTATATTGAACTGTGAGTATCTTTGACAACGCTGAAGTCTGTGCCACACAACTGTGTCAGGCCAGGCTCTAGGTATAGTGAACTATGTAATTGCCCACAAGTATGTAGTATCAAGACTAGTACCGTGTTCACTGGTATATTTGATAAATATTTTCCAGCGTTGCACTGAATCAACCCTACACTTCCTCCTCCAGCCTGAGATTATTACAACGATAATTCCGGTGTCTTATTGAGAAACATGGAACGATGCCACAGTTCTGGCTTTTTTTTCAGGAATATTCCTGCGCGGGCCCTAAGCCTCTGGCTGGCCCACTAAGTGTTGCTTGTTTCTGTTTTACTTGGGCAGAGTATGAGTATTTATGATTCGAATGGTCGCTTCAGTAAGATTTTGCCCCATGTGTTTTAACAACTTCTTCTGCTCTGTTGAGTCTAAGTTGAAATCTTAATGGCTTTGTAACTGTGCACTGTGTTAGATAATGTTCTAGTGGTCTTTTGTAGTTGTAACTGTGCACTGTGTTAGTGTTCCAGTGGTCTTGTAGTTGTAACTGTGCACTGTGTTAGATAGTGTTCCAGTGGTCTTTTGTAGTTGTAACTGTGCACTGTGTTAGATGGTGTTCCAGTGGTCTTTTGTAGTTGTAACTGTGCACTGTGTTAAATAATATTCCAGTGGCCTGTCGGGCATTTCTCCACAGTGCTGACATTTCCTGTCATCTTCCGGAACCTGTAAGCCTATTTCCCATGCACATGGGTATCCAAGCCTGATGCGATGTAAGTGTACTTCTGTTGCTCTACCTGGCGGGTTTGATGAAGAACACCTCATTAACGTTAACATTTGTGACCATTTTTTTTATATTCCTTCAAACACTTGTACAAAGTTTATAAATAATGCTAAATAAATTATGGAGAATACGTTACAATGAGAAAACACTGTTATGCGTTAGAAGATTATTCATAACATTATGCTTCACTATACATATATTAACTCTGAATTCTGTAGTGTTGTAGGAGCAGTATTGGAAGATGGTGTACTAGCAGTAATAAAATGTTATGGACATGTTTTAGTAAAAAAGTTGGTAACCTGGTTATTCTGGTATCCAGTAGAGGGTGAGAGTACTGGTGATAGTCCAGGTTACTAGTGTGAGGTGAGGGTACTGGTGATAGTCCAGGTTACTAGTGTGGGGTGAGAGTACTGGTGGTAGTCCAGGTTACTAGTGTGGGGTGAGAGTACTGGTGATAGTCCAGGTTACTAGTGTGGGGTGAGAGTACTGGTGATTGTCCATGTTACTAGTGTGGGGTGAGAGTACTGGTGGTAGTCCAGGTTACTAGTGTGGGGTGAGGGTACTGGTGATAGTCCAGGTTACTAGTGTGGGGTGAGAGTACTGGTGATAGTCCAGGTTACTAGTGTGGGGTGAGAGTACTGGTGATAGTCCAGGTTACTAGTGTGGGGTGAGAGTACTGGTGATAGTCCAGGTTACTAGTGTGGGGTGAGAGTACTGGTGATTGTCCATGTTACTAGTGTGGGGTGAGAGTACTGGTGGTAGTCCAGGTTACTAGTGTGGGGTGAGGGTACTGGTGATAGTCCAGGTTACTAGTGTGGGGTGAGAGTACTGGTGATAGTCCAGGTTACTAGTGTGGGGTGAGAGTACTGGTGATAGTCCAGGTTACTAGTGTGGGGTGAGAGTACTGGTGATAGTCCAGGTTACTAGTGTGGGGTGAGAGTACTGGTGGTAGTCCAGGTTACTAGTGTGGGGTGAGAGTACTGGTGATAGTCCAGGTTACTAGTGTGGGGTGAGAGTACTGGTGATTGTCCATGTTACTAGTGTGGGGTGAGAGTACTGGTGATAGTCCAGGTTACTAGTGTGGGGTGAGAGTACTGGTGGTAGTCCAGGTTACTAGTGTGGGGTGAGAGTACTGGTGATAGTCCAGGTTACTAGTGTGGGGTGAGAGTACTGGTGATAGTCCAGGTTACTAGTGTGGGGTGAGGGTACTGGTGATAGTCCAGGTTACTAGTGTGGGGTGAGGGTACTGGTGGTAGTCCCAGTTACTAGTGTGGGGTTAGAGTACTGGTGATAGTCCAGGTTACTAGTGTGGGGTGAGAGTACTGGTGATAGTCCAGGTTACTAGTGTGGGGTGAGAGTACTGGTGATAGTCCAGGTTACTAGTGTGGGGTGAGGGTACTGGTGATAGTCCAGGTTACTAGTGTGGGGTGAGAGTACTGGTGATAGTCCAGGTTACTAGTGTGGGGTGAGGGTACTGGTGATAGTCCAGGTTACTAGTGTGGGGTGAGAGTACTGGTGATAGTCCAGGTTACTAGTGTGGGGTGAGAGTACTGGTGATAGTCCAGGTTACTAGTGTGGGGTGAGGGTACTGGTGATAGTCCAGGTTACTAGTGTGGGGTGAGAGTACTGGTGATAGTCCAGGTTACTAGTGTGGGGTGAGGGTACTGGTGATAGTCCAGGTTACTAGTGTGGGGTGAGGGTACTGGTGATAGTCCAGGTTACTAGTGTGGGGTGAGAGTACTGGTGATAGTCCAGGTTACTAGTGTGGGGTGAGGGTACTGGTGATAGTCCAGGTTACTAGTGTGGGGTGAGGGTACTGGTGATAGTCCAGGTTACTAGTGTGGGGTGAGAGTACTGGTGATAGTCCAGGTTACCAGTACAGGATGAGGGTACAGGTGGTGCTACAGATGGTACAGGAAGTACAGGTGGTGCTACAGATGGTACAGGAAGTACAGGTGGTGCTACAGATGGTACAGGAAGTACAGGTGGTGCTACAGATGGTACAGGAAGTACAGGTGGTGCTACAGATGGTTCAACAATCATTAGGTAACACTTGTAACAATGTTCTCTCCACAGTGACGGTAGAACACCTGAGTCCAGGTTACCAGTACAGGGTGAGGGTACAGGTGGTGCTACAGATGGTTCAACAATCACTAGGTAACACTTGTAACAATGTTCTCTCCACAGTGACGGTAGAACACCTGAGTCCAGGTTACCAGTATACGCTGAGGGTGTTGGTCAATACTTCACGCGGCGCTGCAGACGGCTCAACCAACAAGAGGGTTCACCATGTCACATTTGTTACTCACTGTTCTGGTAAGGCTTTTAGTATTGTCTTATATCATTTTTTTTTTTTTTTTTTTTTTTAGATATATACAAGAGTTGTTACATTCTTGTACAGCCACTAGTACGCGTAGCGTTTCGGGCAGGTCCCTGGAATACGATCCCCGCCGCGAAGAATCTTTGTTACAACCAAGTACACATTTTACTGTTGCGTTAAACAGAGGCTACAGTTAAGGATTTGCGCCCAGTAAATCCTCCCCGGCCAGGATACGAACCCATGACATACCGCTCGCGGAACGCCAGGCGAGTGTCTTACCACTACACCACAGAGACTGTTTAAATATTACGTGCATTATATGCATTAAATATCACGTGCATTATATGACATTAGTGACGGGCTTTTATGCTACAGCTCTAAGACTTAATGATCTTCACGTATTAAACGTCACTAACCACGCCACCAACGTGTTTATTTTTTTGGCAGGGATATTCCTGCGCGGGCCCTAAGCCTCTGGCTGGCCCACTAAGTGTTGCTTGTTTCTGTTTTACTTGGGCGGAGTATGAGTATTTATGACTCATAAATGACTCATAAATACTGCAAAAAATTGTGGAGTCCCATTCTCATGCAAGTGGTAGTCCGACACTTATCCTTGCAACTTTACTCTAGCATACCTGTGACTTAAGTAATCTTGAGTCCATGCTAGCATATTTTCCTTTACACCTTTTTTTAACTAAGGTGTGTAAAATTGCTTGGGGGTTTGCAAGTTCGAATGCTTTTTCTAGATCAAGGAAGATTACTATAGCTGGACCTGAGTTAACTGTTCCAAGTAATGTTGCTTTGCAGTTGGCAGTACCTACTCCTCTAGTGAAGCCAAATATGTGTTTATGAAGGTCTCCAGTCTTCCACAGTAGCCTATTTAAGACCATCCGTTCTGGAGTTTTACTAATGCATGATGTTAATGAAATGGGTCTGTAATTGCCAGGTTCTTTCGGCTTAGGAATCGGTATGATGTCTGCTTTCTTCCAAAAGGTCGGTAGTTTGCCTTGCTGCCAAGATGCATTGATGACTTCCAATATTACTTGTTCTCCAGCAGGACCTGCATGTGCGACCATTGAGTATGTAATGTTATCAGCACCTGGTGCAGTGTCCTTACCACCTTTTTTGGCTATGATTAGTTCTTGTTTGGTGAAGGAACAGTCACATTCGTCATTTATAGCTATGCTGTCATGAATGACTGTCAACCTATCTTGTTTTAATTTTTCTTGCTGCCTTCGGACCATTGCAGAAAGCTGATACGTTCTTTCTTCAAATTGAAGAGCAAGTCTCTCAGCCTCCTGCAATGGTTGAATACATGCCTGTGGTCGGGCTGGTCGACCTGATATAGTTTTAATCTAACCCCATATCTTGCCAAGACTACTTTGTTCATTTTGAGTTTGACACCACTCAAACCATCTTGCTTCCTTTACTTCTCTAGAAACTCGTCTTGCTTCAGATATCACCGCTCTTAGCAGAGTTCTTCCTTCTGGTGTGGGGTTTATCGGTAGAGGTTTTCTGAAGATGTTGACTCTGTGGTTCTGTTCTTTAACTTCATTACTATAGAACCAATAGTTCTTTCGTTTTGTGTTTCCTGTGATAATGATTGGAATAGCTTTGTTTGCAGCAGCTGCAATGGCTACCTGCAGATTGGTCTCGTGTATGTTCAAATCCTCAGGTGGCGTGTATGTTGTATACCATTTTTCAAGTTTTTCTTGGTATATATTCCAATTGGCCTTTCTTAAATTCCACCTAGGTTGTGCAGGTGGTGTAGGAGGTCGATCTATGTTTAGTGTTGTGACAGTAGCATAGTGGTCACTGGTGATCACCGGGTCTACTTCCCACTTCGCCTGTTGCTTGAGTGCTGTTGAGATTAATGTAAGATCGTGGGAACCTCATAGAATGTGAGTGGGTTCCCCAGTGTTGAGAAGTGTTACTTCAGGTACTTCTCGCAGAGCTGCAGCTAAATGGTGCCCATCTGCATTGGCTGGCCTGTTGGAAAGTTCCAACACTGATACATCCCTATTGTATCATAATACATCACTATTGTATACTAAGTACAGTATCTATTAACCCTGCTAATTGTAGTACTAATATAAATTAATATTTCTCTATCTGCGCGTCATTTACTAAAATTCTCACCACATCAAGAGGCAGTATTTTGTCAGATATTATCCAGCAGGACATAGTTATTGTCAACATGTTAGAGAATTGAATAATATTCTCAACTTTTATAAGTATTCTTTATAAGAATTAATCTCTGTTAATATAACAACTAGTGATTCAATAACCAAGAGTTATTAACTAAAATATCACTATATAACAATTTTATCTGTTATATCCAAACGTCATGGGGGGAAATAGAAATTCTTTCCATTTCTCGTTAATAAGAACACTTCATAATTATCAACATCTAGCGAGAATATAAACAATATTTAATTCCCTACAATTGCGACCCTATTCTCATTAACGTATTACGTAGAATAATTACAAGGAAAATAATTTTCCGTCTCTACTAAAATATGTTGGGAATGCGATAGAGAGGGGTTGAGGGAGACGGAGGCACAGCGACGCCATTCCTAGCGACGCCATCAGCAGTACAACACGAGCGACGCTACTGACAAAGAGTGTCGGGCGCGAGACAACGTCCCTGGAAACACAAACCGAAACTGTCTCTCTTTTCCGCTTGTTACAACTTGTAATAAAGTTGTTACATCTTGGCTTAACGTGTTTATGACGTATTAGAACGTTGTTACAACTTGCTATATTGGTTGTTATAACTGGTTAGGAGGTGTTAAAACTTGTTCGAACGTTGTACCAACGTCGTAGTTTCGGTGTGTGTTTGGCGGGGTGACGTCCATCAGACCAGGGAGAGGCGAATTTTCCAACAATTCTACAACAAGCCCTTGCTCTTAATCGGCTTTGGAGTGTGCAACTACTCCAGTAGCAATCTAAGGATTGCATAGGTGGACAACCAGCAGGTTAAGTGTTCTAATATTATTATGCGAGCTCGTTATAATTTTATAGTGCACTTTGTCCATCGTTACGCCACAATACCTCCCCAAACGCCAAGTACGTCCGCAAGGAATTTGATATGTCCCTTCCGTTGAATAGTAATGACAATCTAATTTGTGTAGACAAATTTTACATTCCATTGGGTTTTCATCGTGTGTTAAAGCTGCCGTGGTCTCATCATTTTCCCACGCTACGCTAGTGGATCACGTGTTCTAGCAAGTTCCAGATGACGCCATCTCGACCCCGCATCTCTGTTCACTGTCACAGCTGGACCAATTTTAATTTAGTTCTTATTTACTAATGAACGGTTGATAACTAATAATAATTTGAGAATATATTTCATTTACGTGATTTAGGAAATCAAGTATAATTTGATAGCCTAAAGAACTTTAGATGAGAATAATTTTCTTGTTTAATTATTATTCGATATATTCTTGCTACTAACCAATTTATCAAATGTCTATTTATTTATATCTTAGTAAGAGTTACTAATTTTATTCGAGGAAGAACCAGCCTCGATGAAGTATACTGGGAGTGCTTTACTTCTGGTACTAACCCCCCATTTTGTGAAGGCGGGGAAGTTTACTCTTTGAATAACAATTTAATTTACAGTCCATTAATGTTCAAGGAATAACTCTTAATAGATACATTATCTACAGGCACTGGTATTTCAGTCCTTTTCTATTGTTCATTTATCTGTTTTCCTTTTTCAGTAAAAATAGGGTGGTCCTTCGATTAATTTAAATCAGTTAATTAAACATCAATATATTGAGAGTAAACTTTCTTCCCAACATGGCCCAGTCGCACCTAACTCTTGATGATGAACATTAAAATCCGCAGTCTGCTGTGGATTTTCCTGTGTGCTGTGGATGCTGTGTGTGGATCACACGCATACACACTTGTGTGTGTGTGTAATTACTTAAGTGTAGATACAGGATGAGAGCCACGCTCGTGGTGTCCCGTCTACCCAGCACTCTTTGTCATATAACGCTTTGAAACTACTGACGGTTTTGGCCTCCACCACCTTCTCACTTAACTTGTTCCAACCGTCTGCGAAAATTCACTCTGCGAAAGTGAATTTTCTTATATTTCTTCGGCATCTTTGTTTAGTTAGTTTAAATTTATTAAATTTAAATTAAATAGAGTTTGACCTCTTGTTCTTGAAGTTTCAGGTCTCGGGAAATCTTCCCTATCAATTTTATCACTTCCTGTTACTATTTTGTATGTAGTGATCATATCACCTCTTTTTCTTCTGTCTTCTAGTTTTGGCATATTTAATGCTTCTAACCTCTCCTCGTAGCTCTTACCCTTCAGTTCTGGGAGCCACTTAGTAGCATGTCTTTGCACCTTTTCCAGTTTATTGATGTGCTTCTTAAGATATTGGCGCCACACAACCGCTGCATATTCTAGCTTTGGCCTAACAAAAGTCGTGAACAATTTCTTTAGTATTTCGCCATCCATGTATTTAAAAGCAATTTTGAAGTTAGAAAGCGTGGCATAGGTTCCTCGCACAACGTTTTTTATGGTCCTCAGGTGATAGTTTTCTATCTAGAACCACCGCTAGATCTCTTTCTTTATCAGAGTTCTTTAAAGATTTATCACATAATATATAAGTTTTGTGGGGTCTAAGTTCTCCTATTCCACATTCCATAACATGGCATTTATTCACATTAAATTCCATTTGCCAAGTGGTGCTTCATATACTTATTTTCTCCAGGTCTTCTTGAAGGGCATGACAATCATCTAAGTTTCTTATCCTTCCTATTATCTTAGCATCATCAGCAAACATGTCCATATAATTCTGTATCCCAACTGGTAGATCATTTATGTAGACAATGAACATCACTGGTGCAAGAACTGAACCTTGTGGTAATCCACTTGTGACATTTCTCCAGTCCAATACATTGCCTTTGATTACTGCCCTCATTTTTCTATCAGGCAGAAAATTTTTCATCCATGTTAGCATCTTACCTGTCACCCCTCC